GGAGTCCCGGAAGGAGGCGATGGGGGAGGACACGGCAGGGCTGTGGAGGCTGGGGTGGGACAGGGAGACACGGAGGCTTGATTCGGGGTGGGAGCCCTGGAGGTGGCCACAAGGAATTGGGGACCACGTGGGGACCAGACAGAGGGGACTGTGCTCTTCCGGAGTGTGGAAGGACGTTTCTGGGTAAGTCAGTTGGACTGGCGTGCGCGGCCCTGTCCCAATGCTGCTGGTGCCTTCCTCTGGCCAGGCCTGTGCTGCCTTCTGCATGAGATACTGACATGCCTTCTCTCACATGAGATACTCAAGGCAAACCCTGGGGCAGTCGCTGAGGCAGGGGTAGCCTGGAGAGGCCTCGCGCCGGCTAAGGCTCAGCTCCAGTCAGCTCTCTGTCCCTGCCTTCCCGTCCTCAGGCCAGCGGGAGGCTGTCTTTATTTCCTAAAAGGACGTGTACTTCCAAGCTAGAGAGCTGAGAGAAGACGGCCAGGCTGATTTGGGGCTCACACAAGCTAGAGAGCTGATTTGGGGCTCACATTAAAACAGATGTGAGTGCAGGGCCCTCCCTGGTGGCGTAGCGGGCTGGAGCTCAGCGCTGCAAAGCTGGTCACGGCCACTTGGGTGAGAGTTTGATCTCCAGTCCTGGACGTGACCCACAAGGTGCAGCAGACCTCTCCTGTCTCATCCTCTGCTCCCTCAGCAGTGTACATCGTTAATCTACCTGTTCTGCTCCCCACTCTGTCTCTGGTGAATCCTCTCACCCCCACCCCCACACCTCTGACCTATACTCCAGTTCTATATACATAGATAAATACATTTTTAAAAAGAATTTAAAATGAGGGGCCTCCTTGGTGGTGCAGGAGTTAAAGTCAGCAATCAAACTATCATCAGCCACTTCAGTTTTGAGTTCAATCCCCAGCCAGGGAAGTGACCCACATGGCGCGGCAGACCTCTCCCATCTCGCCCGCTGCTCTCCTCAGCAGTGCACTTTGTAGATCTGCCTGTTCTGCGCCCCACTCTATTTCTGGTGAAGCCTCTCGCCGTCCTTGCGCCTCTGGGCTGTACCCCAGTGCTGTATGCATAAATTAAAAAAAAGTTTTAAAAGAAAATGGATGTGAGTTCAGAAGCAGCACCTTGGGGAGAGGCCCTCGGCCTGCCTGGACTCCCCGCTCTATGTTGTGGGGAGATCAGCTCGGAAGATTAATGAGCAGACGGAGCAGGGGGGAAGAAAAATTACTGTCCATTATACCTGTCCTTTGGCAAGACAGGGTAATTAGCAAACCCTCTGCAATAAAATATTTCGTTTCAGTGTAATTGCAAAGTAATGATGTGGTATGGGTTGTGTATTAATCGTGTTGATTAATAACACTCAGGTAGTAATTAAACATCTGCTTCATAATCACGTGCAGGCTGAAGCTTAACATGCACTCTCTCTCACACACACACACACAGACTCACACACATGTGCCCGCTGCGGTGCTCATTTGCGTGTGTAAGCACGTGTAAGCATGTGTACTCGTGTGTGACAGAGACTGACTGAGTTACGAAATCCTGTCCTGCACCCCTTACGGATGAGCTGTCCAACCCACAGCCCCTGTCAGAACGGAGCCAGGTCGCCTGGCACAGAAGCTCCGGGGTTCAGTGGGAAGAAGAAGCTGTAGTGTCTTAGGCCCATGCTGCTGTCCGTCTTAGACTGGCTTCCAGCACCCTATTGTAGGTGGGTTACTTTTCTCCAGCAGCTTCGAGAAAGTTCTTATTGAGGCCACATCCCCTGGATGTGGCCCAGATTTCATGATCTGGCCCCGCCGCCACAGGGCCAGAGCTGGATGCTGACCTGGGTGCCAGGAGCCCTGGTTCTTGTTGTGTCCTCCCCTGCCATTGCTGTGTGACCTTGGGCAAGTCACTTGTCGTCTCTGTTCCTTGGCTTCAGTTCTACCCAACAAAGAGAACTGAACTCGGAGGTCTCCAAGGGCCTCTGGCTCTGCTATATTTGGTTTCTAATTTGGTTTGCACTAATTAGGAATTGGAGACCATTTAAATCCAATATATATGATCCTCAGTGAGTAAACGATCAGAAATAATTCCTTCCTTTATGAGTTCTCAAAGACTCACTCATGAGCAATGAGAACCCAAGCTAAAATCAATAGCTTTTATTTTTCAGACAGAGAAATTGCAGATTCCTTGAGCTGCTGGGCATTGCAATTCATTCTTGTATTTTAAAATTTTATGTTTATGTTTATGGACTGCCATTAGATAATATGGATCCGTCCTGAAGGTTGATTTTTTTCATTAACTTAACTCGTTTTACTTATTAGTTCACATTTACAGCCCGGGTTTAATAAGCATGCCGTGCAGAAGTCATAAAGCAGCCTTTTTCTTTAACAATATTTTAAAATCAAGACTTCTCTGAGTCATCCCAGGTTTATTTGCTCATAACTTGCTCCTCCTGTGAGTTGAGGCCTGTGCTGCCAAAGCCAGCTCCCCATTTGACCTCGAGCTTGTGTGTCCTCGTGTGCATAAGGGAAGGGCTTCTCTAAGGAGCAGAAGCAAGGAAGGCTTCCATCACAGAGAGCAAGCGTCCAGCAGTCATTGATGGTGTTCAGAGTGTTCCTCTGAGGTCACCTGTTTGAACCCCACTTCCCTATGAAGTGGCTTGGTTTTTTTTCTGTATGTGGAGGAAAGGGAGAGACGAGAGCTAATAACCCCAAAGAGCTTAGGTGACTTTCCCTCAGCCACACAGTTGGGGACTCGGCGGGCTAGGATGCAAACTCGCCTCACCCACGCTCCCTCACTCCCCCCAGACGTGGCGTCTCCCCCTCATGTGCCGCGTGAGCTCACCTACACGCGTTGATGGTGCACACACACCTGCTTTCCTGTAGTTCACGCTCTGCATTAAAGCATTAGACAGCGGCGTCCCACTGAGACCATGAGCCTCTGCCCAACTGGGGTTCAAAGCCCCCCCCACCCACTTAACAACCCTGCACCTGCCGAGTTAGTGACCCTCTCAGGACCTCAGTGCATCATCGATAAAATGGGTCTATGGCACTCTCAGGGTTAGATGGGATAATCCAGGTGAAGGACTGAGCTTGGGTTTCTTCCCGCTCACTTCCCACCGACCCTGACCTGCAGCCTGGTCTCGGGGCACCTCCTACTTAGGTACCCCAGGCTGTTGCTCACCCTGGCACACCCACAGCACCTGCTCTCACCTACACACACACGCACACACACACATACTGCCTGCTGGTATCACCAAGGTCACTGTAATAAGGCTATGAATGGGAAGAGGAGGGTAGTCTCATGTCAGCGTATCTGCCTGTGAGTAATTAGGGCCATGGGTTACAGAGCTGACCCTGGAGATTGCAGGGCCAACACCCCTTGAACAGATGGAAACGCCACGGCTCACACAGGGGTGCTGAGTGCTCTTAGCGCGTTAGTGGGTTATGGGGGGGTTATGGAGCCCAGGATTCCTGCCTGCAGTGCTGCCTGGGAGTGAAGGCGCCACCTCTATCACCACCGTGGGATGTTCATTGAGGGGTGCTGTGCTTCTCCCAAGCCTTGAGGAAGCTTGTGCTGGGGGCAAATAAAACACAGAGACCAGAGCCACCCCTCCCCCCTCCCCCACCCAACCATGAGCCTCCTCATCAAGTATGCGAGTCTGAGACACACACGTCTATCATGGGGATGGGCCAAAGCAGGGACCCAGGAGGCCACAGGGCCCCTGAGAGGCACAGGTGCACAGCATGCAGCCCAGACCCTCTCCCTGCCGCCTCTTGCCTGAAGGCATTTGTTGACTTCCTTGTCTACCCTTTAGGGAAAGTGCAGAATGCCCCTCCCCAGTTCTCGTGGAGCTCTGCCGTCTGGCGTGACATTAGCTCGCCAGCTTGCAGTGTTAATGACATTTGCATTTTGCCGAGTGGCTGTGGGAATGTGGGCTGGGGTGTACGATCCGGTGGGCAGGTGGGAGTTTGCAGCCTGGAGGGAGAGGTAGGTTCTGGGTCTGGGGACCCACCCTGGCTGGGCGTGCCAGAGAAGGGGGGCCGGTGAGAGCAGAACGTGCAAATGACTGGCAGAATTGAGAGATTGTCATCTGAAGACTGGCAGAGACACAGACCACGCCCAGGCCAGGGACCCCCCTTCCCCCATGGGCACACGCAGTCCCGGCCTCACTGACATTTATTGAGCAGTCGCTACGAGCCAGAGGCCCTGTTGCGGGCTTCATGGACTCATGAAAATCTTTTAGCTGCCCACAGTCCCCAGGGAAAGATTTTATTGTTTTCTAGATTTCGCAGATGAGGAAACTGATGTTCTCACTTGCCCCGAGTCCCACTCCTGGAAAGCTGTACCCTGCATGTGACTGAAGTCCACCTGCCTCCATAGCCTGACCACCGGGGCCGCTGTCCCTGCCCTGGCCTGGGGTGGACACAGCCAGGAAGCTGCCCTCCCCTGCCCTGAGCCACAGCCAGCCTCCTGCCATCTGCCGGGGTGCAACAAAGTCACAACCACAGAGGGAGGTGCCGCCCTGCAGAGATCCTGATGCCAGCTAGGAGTCAGAACAGACTGCAGGGTTTAGGCTGCCCTCGGCCACCCACTCACTGTGTGACTTTGCCCAAGTCACAGTCCCACTCTGGGCATCAGTGTCCTCATTGGTGAAATGAAAACATTGGTCTAATTGAAACCATTTTCACACAAGGTATGAAAGATGCCTCCCTCTCCCCACCCTTTACCCCCCACCACGCCCACAGTGGGGGGCCATGCTTATATCTTTTTCTCCAGGACACACACTGAGACGTTTGCATATCTTTGTGTCTTAGAATTGCCCCCTGGAAAGTCCAGGTAGGACCTTAAATGCCTACCTCCCTCTGCCCCATGCCTCACCCACTACACTGGGCAGACTTGGTCCCATAAGAGGCCTCCTCAAGGGCCTGCAGAGCATCTCAGACACAGCAGCCTGAGCGGACAAGACCTCCCCACTCAGCACTCATCATCCGTCTGCTTGTCCCCAACAGGTGGGCGTCTCCTGGGCTTGCCAACGCTAGAGCCTTGGACATTGTCACCAAGCAACTTGAACATTTTGAGTTTGACTCCAGGAAGCAAGGCACGGTTCATTTCTAGACTTCCCAAGGCCATTTCCCAGGTAAGAGAGTTCAGACTTGCTCAGCAGGGGGGTTGAATGTGGTTGGTTGTACTGTTTTTCTGGAAACACCAGCAGGGCTCCCTACCACTCAGCATCCCACACCCCACCACATCACCATCCTCCTCATTAGCAGAAGATTTCAAGGCCAGCCCGCCTGGGTTCAGCTCCTGGGGACACTGTGACCTTGGAAAGTTTCCTCAACCTTTTTATGTCACATGAAGTAGCAAGCATCTACCGATTTGGTTTGGGGCGAAGATAAAATCAAAAGGACTTAGAACAGGACAGAAATACAATAAGCTAAGCCCCCAGTAAGTGTTGTTTCATAGGATTCTGCTCCCATGACAATCCATAATTAAGTCCTTCTTGTGTGGATTCTGTGAGGTTTGTTTGTGTTGTTCTTTGTTGACTTCCCAGCACCACACTCAGGAAACTGGCCACTCTACGTTGAATGAATGAGTGATGCTTTACCTATGTCATACAGAACCTTCAGGACAGTCCTTGAAGGTTCTTGCATTAGTTAGGACATGGTTTGATTGTGTATGGCAAAAACCTTAAATAACCTTAAATAACCTTAAACAAGAGAGAGGTTGCTTTGTCTCTAATTCAAGTTATGAGCTAAGTGGATCCATTGCCCAAAAATATTAGGGGTTCTGCCCTGGGGCTCCACTATAGTTGTTCTCTATAGTTGATCCAGAATGACCCAAAATCATCTCTCCTTTCTGTAGCAAGAAGGGGGAAGTCAAAAAGGGAGTGGGTGATCCTTCTTGTAAGAGGGTGCATATACCACTTCCATTTATGTCCCATTGACCAGCATGTGAGCATGTGACACACCTAGCTGCAAGGGAGGCTGGGAATTAGAGACTTTAGTCTGTATGGCCATCTGCCCAATTCTATTAAAAAGGAAAATATGGGGAGCCTCTAGCTTGCCAGATAAGATTATTTTTTTTAAATTTCCCCTCCCTTCTTCCTCCCCCTAGCAAAAACTGTTTCCACATTTTTGCCTTTTCCAGAATGGCATATAATGAGAATTTTATAATATGCTGCTGTTCAACCTGACTTCTTTTACTGAGCTATATGCATTTAAACTTCTTCAGTATCTTTTCAAGTCTAGGCAACTTTCCTTTTTTTAATCACTGAATAATATTCCATTGGAGGTACCACAGTTAGCTTACCACTCACTTATTGAAAGGCATCTTGTTTACTTTCATCTTTGGATGATTATAAATGAAGCTTCTATAAACACAAAAGAATTTTTGTGTGGACATAAGTTTCAATCGGTTGGGTAAATAGCCAGAAGTGTGATTACTAAATTAAATGGTAAGAGAACAATTTACTTTACAAGAATCTACCAAGTTGCCGCCCATCAGCAATGAGTGAGAATTCCTCTTGCTCCCCAATCATGCTAGTGATTGGTGCTGTCAGTTTTGTGGATTTTTGTTCTTCTATTAGGTGTGTAGTGATATGAGGATCTTGAGATATAAAGAAGGCTACTTGGTAGGGTGGGCAAGAAAAAGATACAGGAACTTTTCCCAGCAGCTGGACATAGGGATCTGATTTCCTTCCACACCCATGGTCTCTGCCTATGGCAGTCTCTCTGAGACCATGGACCAAGGGCCTGGGGTGATTCTCCCCCCACCCCAAGTTCAGGAATGGTTGTTTAGTGTTGGTCTCTGAAGGTCAGTGAGAAATGAAGGTCAATGAGGCAAGGCAGTGAAAGGCAGAGTGAGCACATCTGAGCAGATGCTGGAAGGGTCTCTCCAGCTCAGTCAATAAACCACCCTAGGAGGGGCCAGTCAGCTGGGCAGCTTGGGCTGTGGGCAATCCCAGCCAGCCTGTGGCCTCCGTGCCCTGTCCTTGGTTTGAAGTCCCCACATGCCCAACTTCAGGCGGCCAGGCCTGCTGCCCAGGTAAGCCAGAAGCAATGATAGGCAGAAGTGAAGGCTGGCTGCAGACATGGGTGCTGGGAGGCCAGAATGAGGTCATATGCTGGTTTGGAAGGCAACATTCAGTTCAATCTGACTAAGAAGGCAGGCAACCAAGATAGCTCTTTATTGGTCTCCAGTATACTGGCAAATTGGAGCCTGTTTACTGGTGTCCAGGGGCTGCCTCCAGGGATGAAATGATACCAGTGCCTGTGCCCCCTGCTTCCCTCCTGTGGGCTGTTCCTGGCAGGCACCCCCACGTGGCATGGGGCCATAGCCAGCAGCTTCAGACTCATTTCAAAGCCAAGACAGAGGGCCTAAAGTGCAGCACTATGAGGCTACCCGCAGCCACTACAGCGCGAGTTCCATCCCCAGCCAGGGAGGTGGCCCACATGGTGCAGCAGACCTCTCCTGCCCGCTGCAACCCTCAGCAGTGTATTTCGGTCATTCTGCCTGTTCTGTTCCCCACTCTGTCTCTGGTGAATGCTGCTCTTCCCCACCACCACCTCTGGCCTATACCCCAGTTCTTATGTACATAAATAAATAAATCTAAAAAAATATATCAAGTCGGGAGGGCCTTTATTTGCCGGGAGTTCCAACAGAAGTCTGAGAGGTCAGGTTATTGGCCAGTCCTGGTCTCATGACTATTTCTGACCAGTCCCTGAAACCAGGGCCGACGGTGCTGATTGGCCAGACTAGAGATAGGGGTAGGGGCTGAGTGTATGTTATGGGTTGGGGGAGTCTGCCTGAAAGTATGAGAGGTCTGGCACCCCAAAAAGAAAACCCAGGTGCTATGTTCAGAAGGAGGAAGGGATGCTGGAAGTTGCAAAGCAGCCGCTTCCCCGTGGTGCTGGGGCAAGACTGGAGCAAGCGGGAGTCTCATTTGTCCCGTCCCCAGGCGGCTCCCAGCACCAGCGGTGACTGACAGCTGCACCCGGGGTGTGCTCCCGGAGCCCGACTTACAGTGTGTGTGCACACACTGAGCAAGTGGTGCTCCATTTTCCCATGAGGGTACCCCAAGTCCCTCTCGTAGTTTTCCCAGAGCCACCCCGCTATCCCGCCGTCGTGCACCTGGCTTTCGGGGTTCCCCTCCACTTGCTGAGAGGAACTTTGCTCCTCACCTCACTCCCCCTCACTGAGGAGTTTCCTGAGCTGCTGTAGGGTTTATTTGCCCTAAGTGGCCTCCCAGAAAACCAGGTCTGTGCCAGCCCTGTCCCCAGGGGTCCTGCAGACTCAGCCACCGCCCTCCCCCAGGGGCCTCTCGGAGGGGAGGCAGCCAGCCACTGATTGGGCAGGAAACCTGCCTCCAGGGGACCCCTGGGGGCTGTGCTGGGTTCTGGGCCACAGCAGCCGTCCCTCCTTGCCTCGTCCACCCCAGCAGCTCTGTTATGCATTTAGGGTGTGGTGTATGATTTCATTTAAAAAAAGATTGCTCTGCAGGAAAAAAAAAAAATTGAAAACCACAGTGTCTGATGCTGCCTCGCAGGCAGCTGCAGCCAAGTGCGTTTGAAGATCTGTCCTTCGCTCGATTTCGGTCAACCACAACGCTGCTGGCCCTTCCCCAGTCTCTCTGCTCCAGGATCTCTTGTCTGTGGATTCTACAGCTCTGACTCACGGCGGTCAGCCCATCCAGCCTTATATGGTGCGCTCATGGCTTCGGGTGAAGGATGCAAACCTCTGTGTTGACGATGGGGTTCCCTGCCCCCCACCCATCCTATTTGAAATTATCGTTCTATCGAAGTGCATTTAATACACCCAACCTGTCAAACAGCATAGCTTAGCCTCGCCTGCCCTAGACGTGCTCAGGACAGTTCAGGGGCCCACCCTTGGGCTGAGCCACCACCGCAAAGCCTGCTTCCTAGACCGAATAGGTCTTGGGAGGGATTGAAACTCAGCTGGAGAAAGGGTGATGCTCCCGGCTCTCAGCATGAATACCGGGCCGGAAGGATGCTTGAGACGCTAAACTAAACTGAACTGCAGGTTACAGGGGTGCGCCTGTAACAGGATGATCCAGTTCTGTCTTCTGATGAGGCTGAGAAGAGCTGGCCGCGACCGTAGAGCATCTGGTATTTGCTCTCGTGACGGTGAGCTGGGCCCACTGTCATAGCCCGGCATCGGGAGAAGGACTCACACGGGCCTCTGGATGCCCAAAACTCAAGGGCTCCGTGGTCCACTGAGTGCATATTGCTCTCACCCATCAGAAAGTTGAAGTCTTAAGTGAAACTACCATAAGTCAGATGCTATCTGCATTACCTCACTTCTGCCGCAATGGCTAGTGAGCTCCCACTGAGGACCAGAGCAAGAGTGAGCAAAGCTGAAAGACCCCTGACCCGGACGGTCCCTGCCCTCTCCCTGAGACCCCCAGAGGGCAAGTATCTTGCCCCCAACCTCTCCTCCAGGGTCGGTTCAATGCCAGGCCAAGATGTCAGGCTTGGTGAATGCTTTGGCTGCTTTGGCTGTTTTTTTTCTACTCTATGTTTTAAAACCCAAACCTAGACCCGTTGCGGGGGTGGGGGTATCAGGGTGACTTGATCCCTACTGCCTGGGACCTGGAATTTAAGATGCAGCTTGCGATGGGGCCTGGAAAGGGAGGAAGGGCCAAGGTAGCCATCTGTATGCAAACCTGGTGCGTAAGTAAATAAAAAAGGGGAAGCCAAGCTCCACCGTCACCCTACTCGTTTAGCACCCCTCAAGGTCGGTGCTGAGAACAGACGCGCAGCTGCTGGCCTGTCGGGACACAGACGCCAGAGCATGTCCCGGCCGCCAGGGTAGAGATGAGGCTACTGCGAGCGGAAATCTGAAGGAAGCTTGTGGGGTCCCAAGGCCAGGTCCGGAGGTTACGTCTGTGCAGACGGTGAGGGACATCGGTGGGTGTGGCACACGATGGCTTTGCAGGCTGGAGAGACAGGGTACAGAAAGGGCACCCCAGGAGAAGGAAGCAGAGCAAAAGCCTGGAGGGGGGAGCCCCAGAGACTGTCTCATTCTCACCCTCTCTGGTGTTCGTTTGGATGCCAAATTTGAGGGGGGCAGGGGTACTTCTGAGAGATGCAAAACCTGTGCATCGGAAGGTGCCGAGGC